TGTGAGTTAAACATTTACCTCAAGTAGACACACGCCCTGGAGAGAACAATCATGGGAGAAGGAAGGGCTGCTTATGCACAGGGAGACAGCTCAGGGGGCAAGAGAGTATGGAAGGATGGACACTGGGAAGAGGTAACTATGGGGAGGAAGTGGGAGGGGAGCTGTTGCATTGTGGTAAACTGTAATCAATGACATGAGAGAAAGTATATGTGAACTGCTGTATGGAAAGTGAATTTGCTCTGTAAATCTTCACCCAAATCACAATAAATAATTAAAAAAAAAAATCAGTGATATGGAGTCAGATTCCAAATTACAACAAACCTTTGAGAAAAATATTCATCTAATTTTTGTATAGTATTGAAGAATATTCACAATTATCTGAAAAAGCTATTAAATCACTGGGTGAGAGTGAATCTTCTTCATATATTTCAACCAATGCAACACACACAGAACCAGTTATGAGAATCCAGTTTTATTCTGTTAAACTTCATATTAAAAAAATATGAAAAAGTTAATGCTATTCCATCATTAAATGCCATTCTGTAAGTTATTTTTCAGAAAAAAATGTTATTTATGTTAACATATAATGGGTTTGTTATTTTTCAGTAAATTCATAAATATTTTTTAAATATCACAATTTAAGTTTTTCTCATATGGCGAATATTGTTAATTTTTGAGAGGACAAAGGGTATACGTAAACAGTGCCTATGTGGTTGCGCAGTGCACAACTTACAAAACTAGGCAAGGTAGCCCATCCAAATAGACAGGATTTTCAGTTAACTTTTTAGTGTTTCACTCTTTAATTATGGGCAACCAAGGATTACTGTGCAATGAAAGACATCCTCTTATATGAGAGACCAAAATAAACAAAAAAAGGAAGAAAGGGCTCAGAGAAAATCAGAGATGATCCTGCAAACAAAAGAAATACACACATACACAGAGACTCCAGAGAGATACAAGAGGTTACTGCATCCTTTAAACAAGAACAAAGTACTAAGGAAATAGAATTGAAGAGCAAAAATAAAAACATATGTCTTTAAAATTACAAGTATGGCAACTGAAATAGATAATAATGTTTAGAAATCTTTTCAAAAGAAGTAAAAAGACAAAAAGATGGAAGACAAGAAAGAAAAGACTACCCAATGAGGGTTATGAA